AAATAAAAAATTTATATCTTTATGTTTGAAGCCTGAAATGTGGCAAAAGGTTGAAAAGTTCAAGGGGGCCGAATACTTTCGCAAGGCACTGTATATATACAGTATTTCTGTAGTAAAGCAAAATGCATAGGTGATTACCCCAGGTAAGGCTCTTAAATAGTTTAGTTTTAGAGTATGTTTGGTGAATAATGAATATTGTAGTAGCAAACTGTATTCCCTAATGTATACTAGTTTAAAAGCCTTTTCTATATACAGTACATTACATATAGTGCAGTTTGGAGCCAATTTGTCATATTCATAACACCTGCAAGAATGTGCAGTTTTCAAAAGGAAACACGTCTCTATTCATGTTATGTTCATGTTTCAAACGCTTTAATTTTTGTGCATAAATTAGGAGGGAAAGTTCGCCATAATAAAAACAACACTAATCAAATTTAAAAAATCTATACTGAATGTGTTGGTGAACCAGTTGTTTTTCTCACAGTGTTCTATGACTTGATTATGTGGACAGCTACACATAAAGGCTACATTTATTACTCTCACCTTCTATCATTGGTTGCTGTCACATAATCAGCATGTCATGACCTTTTTGAATTACCTGTTGTATACCTGTGCCAGTAAGAAAACTTATCTACTGTATTTTCAACCATTGTCAGTTTTATTACATAGCTCTGTTGTCTTGCTGATGGATGTATAATTGTCTGATTGATATGCATAGTTATGCAAGAAGTGTGGTATCTCATTGGCAGATTAATTTCACAGTCAGAGTACCCAGGACAGGTATTATATTATAAAGTCAAATTAACAAGGACTTCTTCAGTTAATTTATGGGCTTTCCACCCAACCTTCTCCGTCTAGTTTGAAAGTCTTAAAGAGTGTTCAATCAATTTTTCCCCATTTTTACCACTTTTGCCTTAAACATCTATATTATTGTTTATTCAATTTTAAGTGTGGTTTATTTACTCATTTTTCAAATATTCATACAAAAAACTGACTGGCTGTTTAATTGTAATACATCTGGTGATTTTTTGGTTGCTATAAAACATGATGTTGTATGTGATCTTTACCTTGACCATCTTTTTAACTGTAATTTATTTTTGCATTGCCTGGAGGGGCCACTGTAAGTCAGCTCTTCAAAATGCTGTTCACTGGTAATCAATGTTGCTGTGAGTCATAAGGATGAAGTGAGTCATAGTTCAGGGGCTCATTATTGGCTTAACTGAACCAATGTAACATCGTCTCCTAGCTCCTTGAATCCAGGTTCTTTAAAAGAGCTCTAGAGTTCCTGGAGACATACAGTACTGATCATCAAGAACTTGGAGTACAGATGGAGATCCATCCATGAAGGACAGTCACAACTTGTCCTCAGAATCTCAATGTCTGATCAGTCTTTGTGAACTGTTTGAAAAGTCTTTTAGTTTTATTTTAAGAATTTTAAGTCAATGAAGGAAGAGTGTAATTTCATACCACTAACAAATATAATCTACTTAAACAATTTATTTTTCATTTTTGTCACTTAATATTTCATATATTGTATTTCTTCATCAAAGGACCTATATATGTTTAAAAAAATGTCGGGTTACATTTCTGACCATTTGACAAGGTCAATCTTTTATAATAAGGCCTCAGCAATTCAAA